GCGCGTGCGCGTGCTCACCACTTTATTCATTCATCAGTCGGGCATTTGGCCTTTCTCCATAGTTTGGCTATTGTGTCACCTACTTTCTTTCTCTGTGGATTTGTCTCTCCTGGGTAGTGCCTATCAGTAGGATATGCGGCCTTTTTTGCTTGGCCTCATTCACTTAGAATGTTTTTGAAGTTCATCTCTGTTGTATCCTACCTCAGTACTCCATCTCTTTTATGGCTGAATAATAACCCATTCTTTGGATATACTGTGTTTTGTTCGCCCACTCATCGCTTGATGGACATGGGTCGTTTCTGTCTCCTAGCTGTTGTGATGAAAGCAGTTATGCACATACACGTACAAGTTTTTGTGTGGACGTAGGTTTTCATTTCTCTTGGGTAAATAGCTAAGATTGGAATTGCCGGGCCATATGGTGACACTGCATTTGCCCTCACTGAGGAACATCCAGATAGCTATCCAAAGTAACTGCCCCATTTTACATTCCCTCCAGGAATGTTCGAGGGCTCCAGTTTCTCTGCATCGTCTCCAACACTTGCTGTTACCTGTCCCCTCTATCACAGCCCTCCAAGGGGGTGTGCTCTCCTTTTATAGGTAAGAAAAACAGATGGTGCGTTGTCCGCCACAGTTCAGAGAGCTAGTAAGTGGTGAAGTTACAACTTTATTTTATTTTATTTTTTTAAAGATTTTATTTATTTATTTGACAGACAGAGATTACAAGTAGGCAGAGGCAGGCAGAGAGAGAGGGGGAAGCAGGCTCCCTGCCGAGCAGGGAGCCGATGCGGGGCTCGATCCCAGGACTCTGGGATCATGACCTGAGCCAAAGGCAGAGGCTTTAACTCACTGAGCTACCCAGGCGCCCCTACAACTTTATGTTTTAAAGGAAATACTTATATCCTGCATGCTCTGTGCTAGGCATTATTTAACTCTTCCGCTTTTACTGTTTATTCTTTACAGCAACCTCTAAGGAAGGTACTGTCCTCATCTTTGTTTGTAAATGCATACAGGGCAGGACTGGGCCTAGAGCGGGGCCCTTGGGCACAACATTTAAGGAGACAGCACTCTGAGATGCTCCCAGCACCCGCACGGCCCCTCAGTGCTGTATCCTGTGTGCCTCCATGGCCTCATCCTAGCTCTGGCCCCGTGGGAAGAAATGGAAGCATCAAAAGATGGAGTAACTTGCCCAAAGCTGCGTAAGTTAGCAAGTGGCAGACCTGGGATTCCAACCCAGGAACCTGGCTTCAGAGCTCATGTCACTAACCTCTGTGCTGTGCTCACACCTAGGCCCTTGATATCCAAACTGGACTTTTTTCTGTTTCTTTCTCAAGACCTACATTTCCAAAATTTGCCAAGTGAGGATTGCAAAGTAAAGTCGCAGAGATGGGTTATGGAGAGACCAAACAGAGCTAACTGAGCCTACAGCTTCCCAGGTACCCACCGCATGTCCCCTGGAAGGGTTAACTGGCCACACAGTTTCCCTTGGCCACATCTGTGCTTGTTACCCCAGCGCTGCATAAATCTGCCTAGCTCGCAGCGACCACCCTGCACACGTCCAGATGGACTCTGTCCTGGCGGGGAAGGGGCCATCCTGAACTGTCACGATGAGGAACTCTGCCCGCTGTAAGGAAGACACATGCTCTCTTGGCCAAGCGGGAGGGATCTGCCCCTCGCTGCAGCATCCCGACTCACGGGTGCAGAAATCCCATCCCTCACAGTCACACCCCAACCGGCTGCTCATTCTTTTTTTTTTTTTTTTTTTTTACATTTTTATCTGATTGCATCCATCAGATGTACTATACATCCAAGTACAAGAGGTTCCGAGAGGTGCAAGAGTTGTTCTTTCATGAATGGCCTCTAACAATAGTGAAACCAGCAATTTTCACATATGCATGCATGTGTGTACATATATATGTACTTCATAAAAAAGCAAAGTGTCATCTCTTCATCTCTTAACTTAATGGTAAGAATGGAGGCCACCAGGCATCGGTGGGGCACCAGAAGGTCTTGAAGGCACTTGAAAAGGATTGCTGGGAGTGGGATAGAGTCCTGGTGTGGGATATGATCCTGCAGGGGCAGGATATGGTGCTGTTGGACCCCAGGTTCCTGGTGGAACTGTGCCCCATGGAACAGGTGGCACTGCCCCTGGTGCTTGGGGACGGGGCGCGGGATATGGCCCTGGAGATGGATATGCCATATTAGGGGTAGGGTATTGTCCTCCCATTCCAGGTTCCCAAGGGCCAGAAGACATGGGTCCCCAGGGACCTAAAGGACCAGCAGCAGCTGGATCTGTGGGTGTGCTACATGGTCTTGGAAGCTCTGGAAAGGGCATACTTGGTGTAGGATATGGCCCCGCGGGGCCAGGTGGTCTGCTCATTCTTGTTAGCCTGCTCATCCCAGTTAGCTGCTCGTTCGTTTCTGAAACATCGTGTCTCCAGGGGTGCTGTTGTTCGTGGGGGTTTTGCATAGTTCTCCAGTTTCAGCTGAGGCTCCTGGAAGGCAACGTGGGTACAAAAATGTCCGTCAGCACATGCGTGGGTCACCTGCTCTGGGAGACAGGTGGCCTTTGGAAATAGGCTTGTTCAGGTCATCAGTAGGTTCTGCATCTGCTGCCTCTGTTCCCCAAGAGCAGGATCGAGTCAGTCCCAGTTCAGGAGCTCTCGGTAGGTGAGCTGTAGTGGTGCGTCCTGGCCTGGGCCAGCAGATTTCTATTATGCCAGAAGAAAATTTTATAGCTATTGTTGTCCATTAAACATGATCATTCTTGGGGCTCCTGGGTGCTCCAATCGGTTAAGGGGGTCTGACTCTTCGTTTCAGCGCAGGTCATGATCTTAGGGTCATGAGATCGAGCCCCTCCCCGGGAGTCTGCTTGAGTTGCTCTCTTCCTCTCTCTCTCTCTCTCTCTCTCTGCCCCTCCCCTCTGCTCTTGCACTCTCGCTCTCTCAAATCAATCAATAAGTCCTTAAAAAAAAAGATCACTTTTATGGTTGGGTTCTCACCCTTTGGTTTAGAATTTCAGTTCCTTAAAAGCTGGGGGCTTGCTGGAAGTGCGGAGTCTCAGGCTCCATCCCAGACCAACTGAGTCAGGATCTGCCTCCAACAAGATGCCTAGCTGATTGCTGGGCACATCCAAGTTTGAGAAGCCCTGCTGCACATGTCCTCATTTCTCTCTTACCTTCAGCGGGCATCTCCACCCCGTGCTTAGCTGGAGGCTGGAATTCTTGGTAGGTTTTCAGATCTTAAAAGGAAAAGACACACACACACGTACAGAAATTCTTCCCCTCGCCTTTACATGATGTCATTCATTTTACCTGGCCTGCCACAAGAAAGAAAAAGGCAAATTACATCCAAGTTATATATATTTTTAAGACTAACTTCTTAATTGCATCTCTGAAAGCAGCACGCTGGATCGCCCCTCATTAACAGAGTCCCAAGTGTTGCCAAGATTAATCGAGAAGTGCTTCAAGGCAAAATAAACACCATAGCACAGTTTAATTCAAAACCGTATCAGCTAAGAATGAAGGTGCAATTAGTGATAAAGATGTTAATAATTAGTTGTGGTCTGTTAAATTTTATATTCAGTGGTTACATAGGGTGAAGAAAGAATTTCCTCATGAGGACAGAAATTAATGTTTCACCTTGATTGCTGTTTTAATGTGCTTATTTTAATGGGGCCATCCTGTAGAAAACCCTTGGGCACATTTCCAATTTTACATAAATGTAGAATTAATTATTATGGAAGCATATAATTTTAGAGCTGGAATGACCTTCGTGGTCATTAGATCTAGCTCAGACATTTTCCAAAGAAGTAAGAAACGATTTCTTCAGGTCCTTCCACAGTATTGGAACCTTGCTCGCCAACTTGGACCAGTGAGGGTGAAACCCTTCTCACATCCCTGCAGACAGAAATGTTTCCTCTAGCCTCAGAATTCCCACATTCCCGTGTGTAGCAGCTCTCAAGGCCCTTACCTCACCTTGCGTTATGTCCTGGCTGCTTTCTGTTGTAAGGCTGGAGACTTGGGAACCGTATCTGAGTCACTTTTATGTTCTTGACCATTCCTAGCTCTGGGTTTTAGTAAACAGTAGTCGCCCAATAAATTGACATGCAGTGTCGTGTGCTACAGCCGTTCTGTCCCATTCACCAGAGCTCACTGCGTCTTCATGATGGTGGCTTGAGATCGGCCGTGGCAGAAACGATTATATCCTGGATGTAGATAAATACCACAAACCAGGGCTTTCTCCCAGCCATTAAACATGCACCAGCACACAAGAGTTTACGTGATTTTTTCTAAGGCCTCACAAGGCAACAGGTCTTGACAAAGTCTAAAGATGATGCCAACACAAAGATGCCGGTTCCCCCACCATTCGGCTTGGGTTGCCTCAAGAGTGATGGAGGGCGCCCGGGTGGCTCAGTGGGTTAAGCCGCTGCCTTCGGCTCAGGTCATGATCTCAGGGTTCTGGGATCGAGTCCCATGTCAGGCTCTCTGCTCAGCAGGGAGCCTGCTTCCCTCTCTCTCTCTCTCTCTGCCTGCCTCTGTCTACTGTGATCTCTCTCTGTCAAATAAATAAATAAAATCTTAAAAAAAAAAAAAAGAGTGATGGAGAGCCACCGTTCCACCTCCTCTGGTTTCTTTGGCGATTAAGTGTGACCCAGTGCAAGTCAGGCCTCAGGGCTGCGTTCGGGTGTGGTCGCTTAGCTAAATTCCACTTACCTGGAAAAGCTATTTGGGCATGAATGGTAATGGAAACCGCCCTGAAGTCTCAGGCACCGTTGAGTAAGAAAAAAACCCCACAGATTATTTTCAGAGAAAACAAATGAACAGGAAGTTACTGTGGCCGAAATTACAATTACATCCTTATACTTCTCAAAAAACCTCAGTGGCTCCCAACAGCTTGCCAGCAGGCCCGAGGGCCCGCCGTCAGTCACATGCTGACCACAGCGTACAGTTCCAACCTCGTTTTCCACCACTCACATCGCCCACCTTCATTCGACTTTCCAGCCTCCGTGGAGCCTCTCTGCGCCGGCTTCCATGATGTCCCCTTCTCCTGGGAGGCCCGCCCTCCACCTCCCCGGTCTGCCACAGGCTCTGTCCCAGAGTTTCCATCCCTACCCAGTCCCCTCCGTTGTGACCACAGCGTCGGGGTTAACGGGGAACACCCTGTGACTCCTTTCATCTCTGTTTGTGTGTCTTTCTTCAGGAGCAGGACCCGCGGCCCCATCGGCCCTGGCAAGTATGGCTACGGTAAGGCCCCGTACATCCTGCCACTGCAGACGGACTCGGCACACTCGCCGCAGAGGCTTCGGAGGCAGAGGCCTTCCAGGTCGCAGGGGGCATCGGGTCCCAGCCACGGCTACAGCCCGCCGGCCCACCGGGCTCCCCAGCACGGGTCTCTGTACCAGAGTGACGGGGGCCCCCGTTCTGGACTGCAGACCTCCGAGGCCTCCGTCTACCAGCTGCCGTTGACCCATGACCCAGGCTTCCCCGCAGCTTCCAGTCTCTTCCATGGCCTGGAAAGCGGCAGCAGCCACGACCCGGGGGCCCCCAGGGCAGCGCAGAGCTCCTCACAGCCCGCCCGGTCTGCAGCCATCTCCTGCATCGGGGCCTACCGACAGTACAAGCTGTGTAACACCAACGTGAGTACACACCACCGCTCTGGGCCAGGCCCGCTTCCGCCCCGCTTTCTGCTTTGCCGTCACGCGGAAGACAGTGAGGGCCCGGTCCTTGAGGCCCTGTTAATGCACCCCTGCATGTTCTCTCCCTCTCTCCTCTCTCCATGAGTTCTCCACGGACACTTCCCCTTTTCATAAGGTTGTGACTTCAGACTTCTTGACAGTCGCTTTTGCTGCGTATCACACAACCCCCCATCCTCAGGGACTTCCTGTCAACAATATTTATTTGTGCACAGGTCAGTGGGGCAAGGCAGTTTGGTGGTGCCCAAGACGTGGGAGTTGGGGGAGGTTTGACCAGCATCCGTAGGTTCCAGTCAGTGTCCTGCCGTTCCAGGCATGAGGACTTGGCGTATTGTATGATGAAAAAGTCCGAGACTGAGTAACTTGCTGAAGATTCCATAGCTGATCAGTAGCAAAGCAAATTATAAATGGAAACTACATAAGATGACCAAAAGTGGTTTTTCAAAAAATATGTCAGTTTAAAGAGTGTATCTCAAGGAGAAAGGAATAAGAGAATGTTCAAAGGTTAAATTTCCAAGTTGCTACATTTTTCATTAATAATTTAATCTGCTTTAATATTCTGTTACTGGGCAACAGGACAGCTGTTACATATTAGCTTCAATTTCCTCATTAAAAATATATTTCCTGCTATAGAGCCCATAGAAATGACTTAATTTGTGATTTTAATAATTCCTCTGAATGCCTGGCTTTTTAGTGTGTTCTTCCACTGACAGACTTCAGGAATTATTAATTTTTGTAAAGCAGTAATTTTTCTAAAGCCATTACAAACCAGTCAACCATTAAGTCTTTTTTTTTTTTAAAGATTTTATTTATTTATTTGACAGAGATCACAAGCAGGCAGAGAGGCAGGCAGAGAGAGAAGAGGAAGCAGGCTCCCTGCTGAGCAGAGAGCCCAACACGGGGCTCGATCCCAGGACCCTGGGATCATGACCCGAGCCGAAGGCAGAGGCTAAACCCACTGAGCCACCCAGGTACCCCAACCATTAAGTCTTAATTAAGAACCACCGCTTGTCTTGCAATAGCCCAAGGTGCCATGGAAGATGAAAGAGAAGTCGTACTATCTGTCTTGTAGAATCCTTAGGAAGCTCAAATGAGGTGATGTTAAGACAGGGCTTTATAAATCAGAAAGAAATACTTGTGTCTGTGATCATACATGGACCTTGTTCTTGAAATCATTACTATCCTTTTAAGGATCCTTAAGATTCAGGGGCACTTGGGGGGCTCATTTGGCTAAGCATCTGACTCTTGATTTTGGCTCGGGTCGTGATCTTAGGGTCACGAACTCGGGGTCAAGGGCTCAAGCCTCATGACTTCGAGATGGGCTCTGCACTGGACCTGGAGTCTACTTAGGATTCTCTCTCTCTTTCTCTCTTAAAAATTTTTAAAATTAAAATCTTTCAAAAAGTAAATGAGATGAATTCATCTCAAATGTAGAACGCCTCCTCCCATTGACTACTATGTTTCTTAATTTTCAAAACCACATAAATCATAAAGCGAAAGAAAAAGAGAGAGGGCACTTGGCACGCATGTGATGTCTACTTAGTATTTCTGTCACTTCACCTCCATTTTTCAAGGACGCACATTTTGCTAGGCCTGTGCTGCTGAGAGCAGAGCCCCTCTCTCCATGTAGACATCGTGGCTTCTCTGGGTGCTGGGATGACTCCACTACTAAGGACATTGACTTGCAAATAATCTCAGAAAATTGTTGTGAATTTATGATATCTGGCAATAGTAACACCTTCAACCCAGGACAGAGAGGTGAATGTTGACAAAGGGTTCTGTAGCTTCAGTTCCCTTTTCTTGTGTGTAACATTTCACACGGTGTCTTCCCCAGTGCACCCCATCATCCCGAGTCCCATCCTACTGACCCTTATGGAGAGATGCCATTCCTTAGAGGTCCCGTGACTGCCTGTCTTCTTTTTATAAGCCCAAGGCTTCTTGGCCCTTGAGTCATTCCCTGTCCCCCATTGAAACTCCCTATGTTAAGGTCCTTAAGACCTCTCCTAGGTTTGATGATTTACTGGGAGGACTCATAGCTATGATTTATTACAATGGAAGGGCACAGAGCAAGATCAGCAAAGAGAAAGGAGCATGGGGCAAAATCTAGAGGAAACCAGGCACACGGTTCCTATCTTCTCCTAGTGGAGTCACACAGGATGTGCTTGTTCCCCCAGCCGGGAGTTGTGACAATGGGCATGAAGTGTCATCTACGAGGGAAGCTCGTTTGAGACTCAGTGCCCAAGGTTTTTATTGGGGGCTGACCACACAGGCGCCCTCTGCCTGCCATGTACCAAAATTCCAGACTCCTAGGAGGAAAGCAGGTGTTGAGCATAAACTATATTGCTACCGCAAGTAGTTTGGGCGTAGTGAGTCACTCTTATTCCCTCAGGGAATGATGGAAACCCTTCTGAAATCCAAGTTCCCGGATGCCAGGCAAGGACCAGTCTTGCAAGCGGGCCTTTCTGAAGAGAGCTGTTTCGTCCTGCCGTGCGGGGTCTTCCTTGCACACCTCCTGTGTGGACCCATGTGCTCTGGCACCTTAGCGTGGGTGACCTTATGTGGACATGCATGTACACCACCCCCTGCACCAGTGGGCAACAGGAAGAGGGATTGTGTTAGTCTTCCTACTCCAGGATGAAAGAGGTGAAGGGAATATAGGTTATCACTTATGTCCCCTCCAAAGATTAAAAAGGAATATGTGCCTTTAGAGATCTCTCCAGTTCCTATCTGAGAGAAGAGGAAGAAAGGAAGGTGGGTCAGGATGGTTTGGAAACATCCCTTGATCTCAGAATTTCGCCCGTTAAACTAAGTGCCCAGGAGATCCTCCCAAATTCTCGACTGCCCCCACAGTAGAGGTCTCAGTTGTGTTATATACTGGAATGCATAGAAGGGGTGGCATGAATCAGGGGAAATAGTTTGGCAGGCTTCCAGATCTGGGAGCAGTATCTCGTCACTGCTCACAGTCCTTCCCTCAAGACTCTTGTGGTCCTGGGGCAGAGAGGTGCCCAGGGCAAGCAGTCTGGACATCCCTGCCCTTGGCGCTGGAGCACTTGGGGAGGGGGAGGAACTCTGGGAGCAGAGCAGGAGGCCACGCTGGGTTGGGGAAGACTGCGCTGAAGAGGGAACAGTTGAGCTGGGCTCCTAAGGATGGTGGGAAGGGACAAAAGGGCATTTGGGGGCAAAAGAAACAGCTTAGTCAAGGACAGGGAGGGAGGATTGTGCCAGAGCCTTAAGATGCCGTGACACCTGCCAGGTCGCAGGGTCCCTCCTTTCTTCCCCTCCGGCCTCCTCCCTTCCACTTTAAATAACCACAGTTTTAGTGGGCATCTTGTTCTGTAACGTCTCAAAACCTGGAGATTTCACATGGGCCTTGCTTGACTCCCATACATGAGATGGATGCGTGAGAAACTTTTAGAAACACAGTGCAGAGTCATAAGCGAGCTCATTAACTGATGTAATTGGAGGTTAGGCCGCAAGGCATCTGAAATAGTGGGCTTGGGAGCAGACTGTGCTAGCCGAGAGCCTCAGCTTCCTTGGGCAAGGCGCTTCCCACCTGGGATGCGGGGGAATACCACCTGTTTCGCAGTGTTGACTGTGCACACGGGAAGCTGACACGCAGGAAAATAACGGCGTTCGGGCCTGGAGAAGTCAGCAAGGCTTGCCTGCCTCTCCGGGAGCCTGGACCGGAGCAGAGTCTCGCCATGGCATTTTCCAGAGTGCTCAGTCACAAAACTGTGGTGGAGGTGGTCAGACTTGCTCAGAGCCCCTTTTGGTCCCGTGGATTAGCTAGGGTTCAGAACTCTTTCGCTTTACCGGGCAATAAAACACGACTGCTGGGGCACCTGGGGGGCTCAGTCGGTTAAGGGTCTGTCTTCAGCTCGGGTCTCGATCCAGGGTCCTGGGATGGAGTCCCAGCTTTGCACTTACTGCTCCTTGGGGAGCCTGCTTCTCCCTCTCCCTCTGCCGCTCCCCCTGCCTGTGCATGCTTTCTCTCTCTCTCTCTCTCTCTGTCAAATATATAAAGAAAATCTAAAAAAAAAATAAATAAGTAAAACATGATTGCTGAGAGCCCCAACATGTCAAGTGTAATGTAGCTTCTGCGCAGTCACTGTTGGGTCAGGTGTAAAGTGATGGAAAGTGAAACTACAGATAAGTTCCTGCCAGTAAATGCTTAATGCCCTCAAATGTGCATGTTTCATGTGAAGCCCTACCTTGTGATGTCATCTGGGAATTTTAAGCATCTGGTGTGTTTTCAGGATTGCTTGACTCCTAAGATATCCTCTATGAAATGCTAGAAAATAAATAATAAATGCAGTCCCGATGATCTCTGCCTGTAGACTTTAAAGATAAGGAAGGGGTTTTTTGGTTCTTTTTTTTTTTTTTTTTTTGCTTGCTTACTTTGTATGTGCGGAAGTTAAGGTGACAAGCCCCAGTATAAATAGAGACTCTTAGGGTCTTTTGGAGCAGACCCCAATCTTTGACACCTACTGGTACAACACGCCAGGTCACTAGTATGGGTTCTTGGAGTCCATAAACACAGCGCTGACATCAGTGGTGGGGTCAGGTGTTAGGCTGTAGGTCAGGGACACTGAGATGAGAACACACTCTGGCCCTCAGTGGCTCCCAGTTCAGCAGGAGAGGCTCAAAAAAGGTCACGACAAGCAAGCCTAGGACACAGGCACCACCGGACGTGCTGGGAGGCACTTTGCAGTCCCCCGGCCGTGGAAATGAGCCTGGCTGGGCCTCCTGGAGAAGTGCAGGGGGGTTTCCCAGGGAGGGGGAGTGACAGGGGCTCCCAGAGGGGCTGAGGAACAAGAAGGGGGCTCTCAGGAGACCTCTTGGTGGATCCAGATGTTTTTCCTGTGAGCGGAGACTTCCCTGGCAAGTACGCGGGGAGGTCTCTGTGGTTTGTCCCCAGCCCTGCAGTTTCTCAGCTGTGGCTA